ATTACATCTTATTTATATCTGTTTACACTGGCTTTTTAACATCAAACATCAAAATAACTTTTTTAATTCATGTTCCTGGTCTTATTGTGACTGATTTGTCAGTGCATGTTATTCTAAAAAAATAAAGAAAGACATTTGCCTTAAAAATATAACACAACTTGCTTTGTCCAGCGTTATTAATGTTATCTAAAATTCATAATCAAAAATCATAATAATAAAAAAAACATTCATTATTTGATTACTCAAACTTTCATTATTTTAGATAGTTGCCAAGGCAACATTTCTCATTTTTATTTAGTTTAAATTGAAGTACTAAAATAACTAAAACCAGATGAACTAAAACAAAAAAAAACAAATAAAACTTAAAAATAAAAATGGCAAACACACTACAAAAAAATAATAAAATTAACTAAAACTTTATTAAGTAAAATTGAAATGAACATTGAAAATATAAAAATAAAATCTAATTCAAAATATTAACAAAAGCTATAATAGTATATCAATTATACTAAAATAACCTCTCATAAATGTGACTTTTTTTATGGCACAATTAACACTTGTCATTAATTGTGTCTGTTTAATTTAAACAGCTCTTCATGTTTTTCATATTTAATTCAGCTGGATCAAATATAATTCATTAAAATTTTGTTTTATAGTTTAACCCTTGGGTCTGCATCTATTTAAGAAATGTAAATATTTAAATTAACATTCATATTAAAGATTTAGTGTGATTTGCATTAAAATATTCAGCTTTCAAAATCAGACTAATTCTGCCAATGTCACTGTAATATTTGCATACTGGTTTGTGATTGGTCACTGTTGCCTTTGGCTGCTCATTTGGGGCGTAAAAGACAATTAATATTCAGAAAATATTACAGATTATATCAATTATCTGATAAGAAGAAAGAACTGAACTGAATTGAGCTGGATAATAAAACTATTGTCTTCTGTAGAGCAGCTTTCCAGCTGAAATTTGACAATATTAACACTGATATTTTCTTGTTCTTTTCCCCATGAAGCTGCTTGAAACAGTCTGTGCTCTTTCTTGCATTCATTAAACAGTTATTTAATGTTAAATATGCATGTAATAGTCGTATTTACAGTCCACAGTGCACACAGCGTCATGCATGATCATAAAGCATAAATGCAGAGGTTTATGTTGTGAAGGTGTTATTAAGTCTTGTTTGTTGCTGACAGGTGATCATCTATCAGGGAGGCCAGGTCTTCAGTTTAGCCAGTCACATGAACGGGCGCGTGGGCTTCGTCTCCACCATGCCCAGCACAAGTGCCTCGATCTTCATCAATAACACGCAGCTGTCGGACACGGGGACGTACCAGTGCCTGGTCAACAACCTGCCCGACCGCGGGGGGCGCAATATCGGCGTCATCGGCCTCACTGTGCTGGGTGAGCCATGAAGAACACAGATATTACTCTTCATATGTCATGACAGTGCACATGATTCTTCTTCAGTCTTACTGTATCCCACAATGCAATGCGGTTAACCTGACTTTCAGTTTCCAGCGTGATGAATGAACCAGAGAGCAACAGTTTTAATATCTCTTTCTTGACTTGTTTTGTTATCATTTGATGGTAGCTTAAAACCATAATTTGATTGTTTTTACACAAAATTGGATTAAATAAGCTACATCCAAACAGTGTTTATATACTGTTATAGATTTTATTCATATATGGAATCAGCTTTTATTTTTATATTTTTAATTTTAGTTTAATGTTTTTTTTCTAAATCTTACTATTTAGATTAAATTAATTTTTTATTCAGTTTTAGTATTATTTTATTATTTTTATATGATTAGTTTTATTTATATTTTGAATTAGCTTTTATTTTTTATTTAAAAAAATGTCATTTTATTTGTTATTCTTTAAAATATTACTATTTAGGTTTCATTTGTTTTTAATTTTATTATTATAGTTTTTATTTATATTTTGAATTTGCTTTTATTTCATATTTTCAGTTTTTACTTTAATTTTAGATATTTTTTGTAATTTTCAAATGTATTTTTGTCATTTTATTATTTTTTTTTATGATATTAGTGTTTAGATTTAGTTCAGTTTTAGTGTTATTTTAGTTTTATTTATATGCTATTATAGTCTTTATTTATATTTTGAATTCGCTTTTATTTTATATTTTCAGTTTTATTTCTGTTTAATCTTAGTAATTTTGTTATGAACTTGTCAGTTTACAATTAATTACTATTTAGATTTCATTTATTTATTTACTTTTTATTCCGTTTTAGTGTTAATTCAGTATTATTTATTTACTATTATAGTCTTTATTTATATTTTGAATTAGTTTTTTGTTTTATATTTTCATTTTAATTTCTAGTTTATTTTATTTCTTTATAATCTTGTCATTTATGTATACATTTTTTTATATTACTATTTTGGTTTAATTTATTTTAAATTCAGTTTTAGTTTTAGTTCAGCTGATCTGAAATCACATCCTGAGTACATTTAATAACTTGCTTCACAACCTTTCAAAAGTGTGTTTGGTAGCACTTTATTTTAAGTTGTCCTTGTTACACACGTTACATATACTTACTATTATAATAACAATTAATTATGCATAATTACATGCAAGTAACCCTAAGCCAACCCCTAATCCTAACCCTAACCATATAGTAAGTACATGTAGTTAATTAATATTACTCAGTACTTATATGTATAATTACACTGTAACAAGGACACCTTAAAATAAAGTGTAACAGTGTGTTCTATATAGTATGCATGAATGCAATCTGAGTGTACTACATCTGCCATATTGGCATGGTCACGTGACCTTCAGACATAGACATTGTCTCGCAGAATCACACTTTTAGCATAGAATCTAGTACACAAGGTATTTTGAAGGTTATTTTGCCCGTTATGACAGCTGATGTGAAGCTGGTATATGATGCTGATCTTTATTCTCTCTCTGCACCTGCAGTTCCTCCGTCCATCCCGTCCTGTCGTATTCAGGGGTCGCTGGATCTTGGTAACGACGTGATGCTGTTGTGTGGTTCGGACGAGGGCATCCCGACACCCACCTACGCCTGGGAGAAGCTGGAGTCGGTGCTCAAACTGCCCCACAATGCCATGCAAGGTACTAAACCCCTGCCCGTGGGAATCCCGTTTTGCCCCACGTTCTCGGGTAAATGCGCAGCTCTCGACTCGTGCTGTGGCGTGACCTTTGCCCTTCCCGGTCCACCATGTGTCTGTGGGGTGACCTGACCCGCTCTCTCCGAACGCCACGCTTTAGAACACGGCTACAGAATCACCACTCTATTTACATTATACTTATGTTTGTGAAAGAAGTGTCTAATGCTCACCAAGGCTGCATTTATTTGATTAAAAATACAGTAAAAACAGTAAAATTGTGAAATATTATTACAATTTAAAATAACTGTTTTCTATGTGAATATATATTAAAATGTAATTTATTTCTGTGATGCGCAGCTGTATTTTCAGCATCATTCCTCCAGTCTTCAGTGTCACATGATCTTCAGAAATCAGTATAATATGCTGATTTGCTGCTCAAGAAACATTTCTGATTATTATCAGTGTTGAAAACAGTCGTGCTGCACAATATTTTTGTGGAAACTGTGATAGATTTTATTTTTCAGGATTCACAGATGAATAGAAAGTTCAAAAGAACAGCTTTTATTTGAAATAGAAATATTTTGTATCATTATAAATGACTTTACTGACACTTTGACCTTAATGAATAAGTATTAATTATTAATTTTTTAAATTAATGACAGAATTTTCATTTTTGGGTGAACTATCCCTTTAACGTTTATATAACTTTCGAAAAACGTTGTGAATGTTGTAAGAACGTTCCCTGTTAACTTTCATTCTAGAGAAATATTTTACAGCATGCTTAATACGTAATATTCCCAGAAATTTCCCATGACCCTCATTTTGAGAAGTTTGTAAATATAATATCTAATTCTTTGCTTAATTGATTCCTATCCCACCTCACACAGGGAGGACGATCTCCCTCCGAAGAGATCCTCATCGGTCAAAGCGTTCCAAGCGGACGCCTCGTCTTCAGAGAACGACACGCTGACGTCCACCAACACCTACAACAGCCACTACTGGCACAACCCCAAACCCAACTACGACGCCAACTCCTACACGCGCTACAACGGCGACACGCGGCAGACCTTCACTGGTGGCTCTAATGCGGCGGGAAATGCGCCCTCGCGGCCCGCCTACACCAACGGGAGCCACACCCTGCCGCCACCCAAGACTCTGGTGGTCACCACAAACTCCGCCCCCTCGCCTCCCGTCATGGCCCGCAGTAACGGCTCGCTGAGCCTCCGCCCACCCGTCACCACGACGCCGGCCGTGACGCACGGACATCAACACACGCACTCGTTCGCCGTGAGCCAAGCCACGCTAGAGCGCATGGGTGCCGTACCCGTCATGGTGCCGGCGCAGAGCAGAGCCGGTTCGCTCGTCTGACGTGACGGACGAAATCAAAACTCTTTTATAACCGAGTTCAGCTGATGCCAACTAAAACTGTTCCGTTAACGTCCCACGCGCCCTTGTTTTTCATATTGCCTGTTTGCTTGTTAGTTTGTTCATTTTTTAAGTCGTGATGATAAACTGGCTTCGCTGCAGGCAGATAAAAGGGCCCCAAAATCACGTATTTCTCGACCCCATCACTTCTTCCAGAGAAAATGTCTGAATGTGCATGATGCTTTGTTTGATTTGAATACGACTTTTAATACTGCTTTTTAACACTGGAATCAAAGAGGAATAAGTATGCAATTTGAAGCGGATGTTCTCCAGTCAGATCCGGCCGCAGCGTTTGGCGGTGAAGTGACTGTGGCCTTCGATTTCAGATGAGAGGTTTGACTGCTGAGCTTAGTTTCGTTTGAAAGAAGAGTCTTACATTTATCTGTTTTAACAATCCTAATTCAGCACTACTGACTAGAGCCGTAGTCTACCTCTAAAGCACTACAGATAGAGTCTAATCCATAGTGTAGGTCTCATCATGGAGTATTACAGGAAATCCACTTTAATCGGGTGCTGCTTTCAAACAGGTAGATGCATATATTGTTCTCTATGTTATATGAAGGATTGCTGAGAAACGTTTGAGATATTAACACATTCACTGTTCATTTTGTTAATTTGTTGCTTTGTTTGGTTGTTTTTTTAAATACTGTAAATATTGTAACTACTTGTAGAATAGAATGTGAATTAAAACATTCTTTTGCCCAAACCTCACTTGTGTTTTTTCAATATATATATACTAGGGGTTGACCGATTATCGGCACCGATATTAAGCTTTTTTTATGGTTATCGGTATCTGTCATTTTCAAAACTGATTTGCCGATAAAATAATCTAAAAGCATTTAAAGAACGTTTTTGTCAGAGCCCTTGTTATTCTTAATTTTGACATTAATTTTCATTTTTACACCAGACATATATATCGGTTCAAAATATTGGTTATCGGTCTACTTGAGCTGTAATAATCGGTATCGTCATCGACCCCTAATATATACATAAAAATACAGTATTGGGGGTGATGCATTACAAGTAATGCGAGTCATGTAATCAGATTACTTTTTTCAAGTTACTATTCAAGTAATGCATTACTTTTTAATTTAGAAGAAAATACCCGAGTTACTTTTTCAAATAAGTAACGCCAGTTACTTTTTCTCATGTACTGACTGACAGCTCTCCTGTCTGCATGTTGAGAGAAATCAGGAGTGAGTGCAGAGGCGTTGTGTGCGCTGTATGAACATGATGTTAATGTAGTTCTAGACTAAATGTCAACATGCATTTACTCGTCTCACTCGCACAAAAACAGACTCGGTATTCCTCAAAACTAAAGATGCTGAAGAGTGTTGAACTTTCGTCTCTTGTGTCCTATTCTTCATGCAATCCAGAATGGCAGCACAGCTGAAAGGTTTGTTTGAGCTGTGCCTTCTGCTGTAAAGATTTCATTTCACTTTTAGTATGAAAGGGCTTTTACATTTGTTACATTTTACATTTTTACATTACATTTCACAACTTTTTATATTAAAAACAAAATAGCAAGCCCAGCCCAGATGAGAAAAAGTAACGCAAAAGTAACATAATGCATTAATTAAAAAGTAACTATGTAATGTAATTACCAACTTTTTTAGGGAATAACGCAATATCATAATGCATTACTTTTAAAAGTATCTTTCCGCAACACTATACACACATATATATATATATATATATATATATATGCGCTCAGTGCTGGGGTAATGCATTAAAAGTAACTCGAGTTATGTAATCAGATTACTTTTTCAAGTAACTAGTGACATATTACTTTTAAATTTACAAACAAGTAATCCAAGTTACTTTGTTTTCCCAGGTGCAGAGGCACTTCCTTCAGCCTGAGGCTTATTCATTTCACTTTTAGTGTGAAAGGGCCTTTACAGCTGCCAAAAATATCAATTTGTTTTTTTTTTTGTTTAATAAAAACAAATAAGCAAGCTCAGCCCAGATGACAAAAAGTAACACAAAAGTAACAATGCATTCATTTTCATAAAAAGTAACACAATTAGTTACTTTTTAAGGAGTAACGCAATATTGTATTGCATTACTTTTAAAAGTAACTTTCCCCAACACCATATAGGCTGACAAACAGATTACATTTAGTTCATGAAAGTGACAAAATGCATGTTTATCTGTTTAGTAAACACATTTTTATACAGTGATCTGGTTTAATTTAAACCGTCATTGTTCAGTGGAAGTGTTTACGCTGATTCAAGAGAGTTCGTGCAGGTTGTGTGTGTTCATATGTGTGTAAACACTGTCTGTCTAAAGGTCGATGCTGTAGTGCAGTGCAAATAGTGATTTTTAAGACTGCTGTCTTTAGAAACACTGAAATAGTAAAAGTGAACCTCCTCTGGACTGACCTAAATCAAGTCAAACAACTCAAAAAGGTGAGCAAATACTCATGATTATTCAAAAGAACAGAGAACAATTCAAAGAGCTTCTGTTTTTAGTGATGATATTAATATAAAGCTGTGCTGTAGATATTAACTACTTTTGAACAAAATGTAATACCTGTTCACACTGAGAACGATAACTAACTATATTCCAACAATATCATTCCTCTGTGTCGTTATATTTGTGGTTATTGTGAACTTTTTCTCATGGAATTAGAACTATTTAAAAGTTCATCATTATCGTTAAGGCCCGTTCATACCATGAACAATAACCATAGCAAATTGCAATAACTATATTAGCGTCCACATTAACAGATGTTTAACTGAGCAACAAATTTAGGTTATAAAAACATTGTGGGAACATTGTTTTGAAATGTTTCTAAAATGTCCAGATTTCTTGTCGTGATTATAACGTTATTTAAATGTTGCAAAAATGTTTCTTACAATGTTCTGCTAACTTTATTTTCACCCAAAATATAACACTATTTGAACGATTAGTTTTACAACTCAAAAAGGTGAGCAAATACTCATGATTATTCAAAAGAACAGAGAACAATTCAAAGAGCTTCTGTTTTTAGTGATGATATTAATATAAAGCTGTGCTGTAGATATTAACTACTTTTGAACAAAATGTAATACCTGTTCACACTGAGAACGATAACTATATTCCAACAATATCATTCCTCTGTGTCGTTATATTTGTGGTTATTGTGAACTTTTTCTCATGGAATTAGAACAATTTAAAAGTTCATCATTGCAATATTGTATTGCATTACTTTTAAAAGTAACTTTCCCCAACACCATATAGGCTGACAAACAGATTACATTTAGTTCATGAAAGTGACAAAATGCATGTTTATCTGTTTAGTAAACACATTTTTATACAGTGATCTGGTTTAATTTAAACCGTCATTGTTCAGTGGAAGTGTTTACGCTGATTCAAGAGAGTTTGTGCAGGTTGTGTGTGTTCATATGTGTGTAAACACTGTCTGTCTAAAGGTCGATGCTGTAGTGCAGTGCAAATAGTGATTTTTAAGACTGCTGTCTTTAGAAACACTGAAATAGTAAAAGTGAACCTCCTCTGGACTGACCTAAATCAAGTCAAACAACTCAAAAAGGTGAGCAAATACTCATGATTATTCAAAAGAACAGAGAACAATTCAAAGAGCTTCTGTTTTTAGTGATGATATTAATATAAAGCTGTGCTGTAGATATTAACTACTTTTGAACAAAATGTAATACCTACACTGAGAACGATAACTAACTATATTCCAACAATATCATTCCTCTGTGTCGTTATATTTGTGGTTATTGTGAACTTTTTCTCATGGAATTAGAACTATTTAAAAGTTCATCATTATCGTTAAGGCCCGTTCATACCATGAACAATAACCATAGCAAATTGCAATAACTATATTAGCGTCCACATTAACAGATGTTTAACTGAGCAACAAATTTAGGTTATAAAAACATTGTGGGAACATTGTTTTGAAATGTTTCTAAAATGTCCAGATTTCTTGTCGTGATTATAACGTTATTTAAATGTTGCAAAAATGTTTATTACAATGTTCTGCTAACTTTATTTCCACCCAAAATATAACACTATTTGAACGATTAGTTTTAATATTCTAATCATGTTAAAATGACAATTTTTTTGTTGTGATTCGAATGTTATTTCAATGTTTTTTCAGAAACTTTCTGCTAATTTTATTTTTACCCAAAATATAACGTTATTTAAAACATTTTTTTTTAAATATTCTTAGAACATAAATATCATTTTTGTGTGATAAGAACGTTATTTAAAGGCGACTAAAACGTTTTTACTTAAAAGTTCCACAATTTTTTTTACCCAAAATACTACATTATTTGAAAGTTTATTTTTTTATATTCTTAGAGCATTAAATGTCCAGTTTTCATGATTAAAACGTTACAAAAACGTCTATAACATCAAGACATTCTAAGAATGTTGAACACAGAATGTTTTTTTCTCAATGTTATATGAACAAGTAAAAATAACATCATGAAAACATTCTGAGAATAATGTTATATAAATGTTTTCTCATCGTTAGGAGAACATATATCAAATATTAATAAAGTCATGAGTGTTACATAAACATTGCATCTTTTTAAGTGAAGATGATGGTGAATGTCTGTCCTGGCCACTGCTACTTTCTTACAAGAGTAAATTATTAAACCAGGAAAATAGATTTAAAAAATTATTTTGGAAGTAATTCAAATGTTGCGTAATCCATAATAACAGACACGACCAATTTTACTCATTGAGGGTTTTATTCGGTAAGGAATAATTATGTCATAATTTTATTGCAGTCATACAGTTTGTCTGAGCCGTGCATTAATCTGAACGCTAAGCTTTTATGCAGGTGGTTTTGATACAGCAACTTCTCAAGCAACTTCTCAAATCTCAAAATACTTTTATGATACACAATTAATTTAAACACAGTTATGCCATCTAAGATGGATTAAGGAACTTTAATGAATGCTGTCATGTATAACAAAATGAAATGAATTGCTAATTACAATAGGCCTGCTCTTGACATTGAAAGATACAAAGCCTGTACAAATTCTAAAAATGGTGAAAAATAATTGGGAATCATTTAAAAAAAAAATGGTTGCACATTTTATTTATCCATCAGAACTTTTGTCATTTTATCACTAGGCTGTTACCTTGATCTTCATTATATGATGTCATTACATACAAATTAGCCAGAGATCAGTTATTACTGTGTGTGTGTGTGTGTGTGTGTGTGTATGTGTGTGTGTGTGTGTGTGTGTGTGTACGTGTCTGTGTGCATGTCTGTATGTGTGTCTCTGTCTGTCTGTCATGTCTGTATGTATGTATGTTTGTCTATATGTCTTTCTGTCTGTCTGTATGCATGTCTGTATGTGTGTGTGTGTGTGTCTGTCTGTCATGTCTGTCTGTATGTATGTATGTCTGTCTGTATTTTTGTATGTCTGTCTTTATGTATGTCTGTCTGTATGCATGTCTGTATGTGTGTGTGTCTGTCTGTATTTCTGTCTATCTGTCATGTCTGTCTGTATGTCTTTCTGTCTGTCTGTATGCATGTCTGTATATGTGTGTGTGTGTCTGTCTGTATGTCTGTCTGTATTTTTGTATGTCTGTCTGTCTTTATGTATGTATGTCTGTCTGTATGCATGTCTGTATGTGTGTGTGTGTGTGTGTGTGTGTGTGTCTGTCTGTATGTCTGTCTGTATTTTTGTATGTCTGTCTGTCTTTATGTATGTCTGTCTGTATGCATGTCTGTATGTGTGTGTGTCTGTCTGTATTTCTGTCTGTCTGTCATGTCTGTCTGTATGTCTTTCTGTCTGTCTGTATGCATGTCTGTATGTGTGTGTGTGTGTCTGTCTGTATGTATGTCTGTCTGTCTTTATGTTTGTATGTATGTATGTCTGTATGTCTCTGTCTGTCTGTATGTCTGTCTATCACTGATCAAGCGTGTGTATCGTGTTCAGTGTTGTATGTATGTCTGTATGTCTGTCTGTATGTCTATTTATCTGTCTATCTATCTATCTATCTATCTATCTATCTGTCTGTCTGTATGTATGTATGTCTATCTATCACTGATCAAGGGTGTGTATCGTGTTCAGTGTTTCTGGACAGGCGTGATGCCGTTCATCTGCTCAGGAACCGAAGGGCAAACGTCTTCCTGGAGGAGATGAAGCCCGGGAATCTGGAGCGCGAGTGTTATGAGGAGCGCTGCTCTCTGGAGGAGGCGGCCGAGATCTTCCAGAGCAGAGAGAAAACGGTACCGTCACACCATATTGTCTTATTCTGCTCTGCATGGGCTTCTTGTGCTGACATACGGCTCTTTGGAGATTAATTAAGGTCTTTGTGATGTTTCATCAGGTTCATCAGATCACAGTTTTGGTTTCTGGGCTCTTTAAAGCAGTGCTTCTCAACTTCTTTTTAATTGTTTTTATTACTAATACATTATAATTTATTATTAGTAGTAGTTTTTACTAAAAAAAATAGCAATTTCTATATCTGTTGTAACCTCTGAAGTATTTCAGAGCGTGACATAATTAGAAAAAACGTCATAATAAAATGTTTGCATGGCTTTTACAAGTCTAGAAATCATACATCCAGCTCAGATTATATCTTGATATTTAGATGTTTTCGCTTATTTTCACTTATGTATTGCATTGCATTATATGTTTGATCATTTAAATCTCATCTTACTAAGTCATATTATTGGAGATATAGAGTGACGACTGATATTTATATCATTTTATGTAAGTATCTGCTGTACTGTTATAAAGATTGCACTTATTTACAGTACAAGCTTCAGAATCTTTTTTTTGTCTTCACTAAATTACATAGTTTGAGACTCTGAATAAAAATTGTTTTTTTTCCTCCATATTCTAATTATATCAGACTTTCAGACTATATGAGCCATAAAAACCAGATGGATCAAATATAATACTCAACAAAAATCATATATGCAAACTTTTAAAATATTTTGTTCAATAAACGTTTTCATAACAAACAAAAAAAAGATTTTTCTGACTATTATTTAATATGTCAGGATTTACAGGGTTAACTCATTTACAGACCCCTGGTTGAGAAGCACTGCTTTAAAGCTGCTACATGCAGATTAATTTCTAAAGAACCAGAGAATAAAAAGATCTTTGTGTCACTTAAAGATTCTTCTATGACATCAGACCTTTTAAAAAATCTCTTTAGTTCTAAATGGAACTTTTATTTTTAAGAATACAATCCCATCATTGTCGTCTGACTCTCATGTTCCTGTGTTCTTATAGATGGAGTTCTGGTACAGATATCAGAGTAAGACTTTTCTTTATTA